CGCGATCGACGAGACAGCATATAGGAACGAGTAGTATTCTAGAATTTGCGGTTGCAGCGGAGCACGGGCCCCGATCGACTAACCAGTGGCGACGGCGGAGCATAGCAGCGTGGGATGACACGTTTCGAGCCAGGACAGGGCAGCCCCCGCATGCCGCGCTGTGTAAACATATTCGGCCCAACATGACCCACGCCGGGCCCGACGGCACCGAGTATACTACTTGTTGGCATTTCTAAAAAAAAAAAAAAACTTGTTGGCGCGACGGCGGCGTGCGGCCGGCCTTGGCGACAATCAACCCGACGGATTCATTCTCACAAATAATTTCTCGTTTATCTCACAAATATATGTAGTACTGCACACACGGATTCATTCTCTTGTTTGAGTTAGTCTGTCCGTTGTCACCGATCTGTATTTTTGTGTTTGCGCAGTCCTGTTTGATCTTCTTGGATTATAGCGTCAAAGTTTAGTTCTCTTCTGACACACTGGATTCTAGCGTCAAATATGCACTGTAAATTAGGCATGGCGCTAGATTCTAGCGCCAAAGTTTAGTTCTGATGAAAAATTATAGACATCTTCGATCTTCTTGGTAATCGCAAGGCCAATGTACACTCAAGTCCGTGATGGGAGTTAATTCATACTGAATGTTTACACATTTAACTTCAGTCTCGATGTAAGTTGGTCCCTAATTCTGCAATTCCTGTAACCGTGATGGACGGGACTTGAAGAAAAATCTTCCTGTGAAATCTTTCTGGAGTTGAAGAAAAATTCTAGATTTTGGTGACCCAAGCTGTGTGTGTGTACATAGTTCTAGTTTTTATTGCTATGAGTTCAAGTGATAGCTCAACTTATTGTTGTCACTTCTTACTGCCGTCACTACTGATAACTCAACTTATTATTGTCACTTCTAGAACAGAGGTACTGACTGTTCACACATTTGACTTCAGTGTCGATGATCCTCGGAAATGGTGTTCCTGATGCCCCAGCCCCTCCACCACCCCGTGCACTAGCCCTCGACTCAAGGCCTGTGCTAGATCCTAGGGATTTCCAGAATAAATGGAGCCAACTAGCATTATCTGTTTCTCAGGTGCGTTGCTTTTAAGTTTTTGTCCCTGCTACATTTCATGATTATGGGCAGCGCACGCAGCATACTCTTCTGTCTGTCTTTTTATCATTGCTTGGTCAAGTTTCTTATGATTTTAGCAAAGTGATCGCGTGAAATCCTATGTTCCGCCGCTGTCTAATTTGTCTTCCCATGAAGCTCATCTCGCCTCAGCTGAGTTTGAAATTAGCCGTTCTGATGTAGTGCTGTTCTATGTTCCTCTAAATGGTTTCACTTGGTTTGAGATTATTATGATTTTACTTTGGACTTTGGTAGTATATCACAAGAGGATTCCGTGTGATGCTCTGCTGCTGTTTGTCGTGTTCGTGTATGGGTCCGCCCTTGAAATTCATCACATTGATGAGCTCGACATCTGTAATTAATTAACAAACTTTCTTCTCTTGTGTGGCTTTGTTCTGTTGTAGGAATGCTCTTTAACTCCACAAGGGGCAGCTTCTTTGATGAATCCCCAATCGCTCATTCGTCATATGCAAAGCAACTACATTCAATGCGTTGCTTCAGGCGGTCAGCCTCCAAACTGCAAGTTCTTCTTTTATGGTCAGAAACCTGGGGCTGCTGATTTCTACCTTGTAGAGTGCACTGTGAACACAGCATCACCGAAGGCCAAGCTCAAAATTAAGGCCGACGATGGGGCTACCGCTGAGGCCTTTTCTACTTTGTTTCAGTCAGTATTGTCTGAATTTGGGCTTTCTTGATCATGAGAGACTAATTTTCTTCAAGGTTATGGTGGTTTAGATGGTGTGTAACCTTGTTGCTGGAGTGGACATGAATATCATCTCCGTTGATGTGGAGAGAATAGATGTAAATCTGTAGTAATTTATTTGCGGGGAGCAATAAAGCAAGAGTATAGTCGACTTGTTCACATGCACAATTTTTTTGGAATTCAAAGTAGTACATAACTACACATACACAAAACACAAGGGTGATGATCACAGCAAGTTAAAGTCAAGCGTCGGTCCACTTCCACACACATCTTCTCCCTTTGCCCCCACACACATGACAAACCCTAACAAGCGTCGCCGCCCGTCGTGCCCCGGCCACAGTGGTGTGGAAGTGGATCCCTGGGAAGCACGAAGTGGTGTGGAAGTGGATCCCAGGGAAGCACGACTGGGAGGCCGGGTAGTTGTCTGGCTTGTTGGGGCCGAGGAGGGACACACCCAATTTCTCAATCTTGCCACCCGCTCTGCCACGGCAACGGCCCTACATCGGCGTGGAGATATGCCAGCGGTACTAGAACACGGGCACCCCGCTCCCATGGCGCAACGTGGACCCGGTGGCACCTCAGCCTGCCTCGGGTGACCAGCGAGCAGCCGCGCTTGCCTTTTGGAGATCAACGTTTTTTGGATTTTAGTTTTTATTCTCACTTAATTTTCGTATGTAATATGGTTGGATGACCTGCGGAAAATTATGGGGCTGACATGCATCACACCATACCAATGGCATCTATAGTAATATCAAATGAAAATAATAACTGAATTTTCTTTTTAAATTTGACTTGGAGTTTCTTCACCCCTGGTATCTTAAATCTGAAAATGCAACTCAGAGTTCTAGATCTGTTTCTCAAACCATCCTCAATCTGTTCATCCTTTTGAATTGCCGGTTATCAGCCTCTCTCTCTGGGAAATGAAGCGCAGGTTGATGGACTGCAACAATTGACAGGGAGGGCTGCAGCAGCTCGCAGCACTCGGGCCAACAACAGCCCACAGGAGCGGACCGGATCGGCGAATAGTTATAGGATGGAAATCGATCGATCTCAGCCGTCAAGCGGGGGCCCCAAGGGAAGAGGCAAGGATCGCCGTCCGTTAACTGAACCCGATCCTGTCACGACTTTTTTATCTGAAGAATCCGACACTTCGTCAGGGGATAGCGTCCTGCGGCCTGAGGTCAGGTCGCGCCTCCGCCGCCGCTCGCCGCGCGCCGCTGGTCCGCCCGCTCGACGGGGGAGGTCGTCCGGCCTCCTTCTCCGCGCGCTGCCGAACGCCGCTCGCCCGATCCCCGACTCGGGCCGCGCGGCCCCGATTGGCGCCGCTCTCCCTCCCCTTTCGAGGACTCCGCCGCCGCCTCGCTCCTCCCCTGCCCCGGCCGCCCCTGAGCCGCATCGCATCGCCCCTCTCCTGGCCAGGACGCCGCCGGCCTCGCGTCGCCCCTCCTCGCGAAGGTTGGTTCTTCTTTTGACAGTAGGCACTTCTTGGCTTCTTGGAGATGAATGTTGATTGCTGATCTGTGAGATGCCCTAGGTAGAGACCCCTCACTGGTTGCCTGCCGCCCCCCCTCGCCGGCGATGGCCGCGCCGCCACTCCGGCCGGAGGCGGAAGAGGGCGGCAAGGGCGCCGAGGTCTGCCTGTTCGACCAGTCGCAGGAGGATTTCTCCAGGGCGGTACGCGCCATCTCGGAGCTCGCCACCGGCGACCCCCAGCCGGGGTTCCCTGACGCCGAAGTAGAAAGGCTCGCCTCCTCAGTGACGTTCCTCAGGTGAAAACCGCTCTCCCTTTGCTCCCGCAATGCCGCGATAAAATTGGCAAGTTTCAGTTTTGGGCCCGTCGGCAGAATGGACTTACAGTGACCCAAGAAACATTAAAATGCGAAAATAGGAAAGTATAGAGTAATTAACTAGTAAGAAGAATAGGAGAAGATATATTGTGTTCTCCAATTAGGTATGCTGCCAATGTAACTGCAACGTGCTAAGATTATGGTTAAACAGAGCCATCAAATGTCTTTTTTTGGATTAACCAGAGTTCATTCTGCAGACATTTGATCTATTGATAACGATAGTTTGTTATCTTCCCAGAGAATGGAGGCATTTCTCTTATGAGCCAAAAGGTGTGAGTTTCGTTTACGGCGCTGGACCAGCTTCATCCGCAGATGACACACCTGAGATAACCTTACCACAGTTCTCATCTGCATCTTTTCCTCAGGTTAGTAATACTAAAACTGATTGTTGGCGCTAATTTTGTGAGCCTAAATTTCTTGGTTTAGGCTTTTAGTTGATTTCTTGGATAATATAAGTGCGAATCAATGCAGGTCACACACTTGGAAGGTGGGAGAGATAAGAATACAGACAGGTATTATTTCTATATATATAATCTAGACTTCTTCAACTTTTGAGAATCTACTTATGTTGTTACATGATTTTCCCTAACTAGTTACTCAAGGTAGTATTGTTGTGGAGAGATACATTATGATTTAAGTTCCTCTGGTTGTGTTATTTGAAGTATTGAAGTTATGACCTAATGTATTCCGCAGACCAGTACCTATTCTCATCTTGTTGTTGGTGAAGGATTTCTACAGAAGTACAATAATTTCCTTGTTGTTTCACATGCAACATAACTTGATTTCAATTACACCTTTGACCCAAAAGGACTCTTTCACCATCCGAAGCTAGTCTTTCGGCCGACAGGCTGAACCCATTGGGCCCCACCACGTCAATGAGGTTTGCGCGCATGATACAGCTAGCTGATTAAGGCATGCATTGCTGCACAGGGGGGGGGGGGCACTCTTATTTATCCAAATCCCCCACCCGCCACTTTCCAAATCGGGAGAAAATTACATGTGTGGAAGTGAGCGCTGCAACGCGCGCGCGCGAATTAGCATTTCCCCTTTGACCAGTATCTTTTCTAGTTATATACTAGTAAAGTTATCAGATAAAAATAATTAGTGATATGTACTTCCATTAACCCATATACAAATACCATTTTGTGCTATTGTGTATATGAGTGATCAAAGCTTTAAATCTTGGACTGCACACTTTAAAAAGTACAGTTATTTGAGAATGCAAGCAGTATTCTCTTGGTCCAGGAGTGAGTTGGGTCATCAACTGCTGTCAACCCATGCAAGGTTCTGCTGCTTTTGGGAGATTTGTTGATAAAAAGAGACGTACGCAATCCGCACAATAGCTTGTGTTGTTTCATTAACTGAAAGATCAGTGGTGTCATAAATTAGTGAGACGTGGATACGCTACTAAATTTGACCTCCGTATTTCTACCCTCTTTCACTTTTTTTCTGTTACACTATCCATATGATTGTGGTGAACCATCTTGAGCGAACTGTGATTAAATATCTTAATTGTTGCAGTTCTGATTTCATTTTGTTCGCTGGGGGAAGTGTTTGGTCGCTGGACTGGTGCCCAAAGTTGTGCGACAAGCCTTGTTCTCGTGTAAATTGTGAGGTTGTGATCAACTGACTGATGGTCATGAACTAGTAGCTCTTTTGTTGTGAATCATGATTCCAAAAAAGCTCGTTTGTCATCTTATTATCCAGTTTCTGCCTTGTAAGACTATCTGGAGAAATGTTTTGTTCATCGCCCAGATTTAGCAATGAGAAAAATGCCATTATAGTGGCTCCCAAACCCACATCTCAATGATATATTGATTTGTTTTACTCAACTGTATTACTTTATGTTGGCATATAGAAATATGTCTAAGAAAACCTCAGGACATCCATCAAAGTACTTTTCTCAAATGCATTTGCATGCAGGCTCATTGCATGGTTTGCGCTTGTTTTTCAGTGTCTATGAATAGTAATCTTTTGTTTTTTTTAATTGCATGAATTTATTTGGATATAAAAAAAGATAACAAGTAGAACATATGAGGTACTTAGAGCTGATCACGATTTTCTATCTGTTGCAGTATCTTGCTGTTGCTGCTCATCCTCCTGGTTCTTCTTACCATAAGCTTGGTATGCCATTGATTGGCAGAGGTATCATTCAAGTTTGGTGTCTCGTAGCACCCTTTGAAGAGGCAGATCCTCATCAGTCAATGATTGCGTACAGTAAGAGCAATCGTAGAGGAAGGCCTAGAAAAATACCAGACGAGAATAACTCCATTGAGAGTTCATCAGTTCCTCGAAAACCGATAGGGAGACCAAGAAAGATAAAACTGACAACCACTGATGATCACACAGAACCATGTCTGAAAAAACCAAGGGGCAGACCAAGAAAGATAGAACCAGCAACTACTGCTGATCAGGAAGAACCAAGTATGAAAAAACCAAGGGGGAGACCAAGAAAGATAGAACCAGCAACTACTGATGATCACGAAGAACCAAGTATGAAAAAGCCAAGGGGGAGACCAAGAAAGATAAAACCTGCAACTGCTGATGATTACGCAGAACCAAGTCTGAGAAAACCAAGGGGGAGACCAAGAAAGATAAAACCTGCAACTGCTGATGATTACTCAGAACCAAGTCTGAGAAAACCAAGGGGAAGACCAAGAAAGATAAAACCTGCAACTACTGCTGATCATGCAGAACCAAGTCTGAGAAAAACAAGGGGCAGACCAAGGAAAACCAAGTGCAATGTCCATTTGAATGCTGCATCATTTGATGCCGCATCATTAGCACTTGGCTTGTGCAATGCAAATTACAAGGAAGAATCAAGTGCCCAACATAGAAAGAAGTCTGTTTCAACAGAGTGTAGTTCTTCAACCACATTCAGTGGCAAAGAACAAAACAATCAGCCAACTCCCAAACCAAGTGACAATGTGGTCTCAGTTGAAAAGTGCAAGAAAGAATTACTTGTCTACACCAGAAGGCGTGTACGACCTCCTACAAAGAAATCTGCTCCGAATGAGACTTGCTCACTGGCTCTTAGTGATGACGTACAGAAGATGGAGACATCCTACACATCCATCATGCCAAATAATCATTTGTCTTCTGTTGAGGATCCCAAACTATCGGGTTCATCTATGAGTGAAGACATGACTAATGAGGCTGGTTTGGTTGGATGTAAGAGCACAGTTATTAACTGTGAGGTCATGGAAATGAATGATGGTGAGGCTGCCAATCAAGTTGTCCATGCTCCTTTTGAAGATAGTGCCCAGATGATTGTTGAAGTGGAAAATACAGAAGTATCTCCAATACAAAAATCAAGTAAAAATGATAATATAATTACTTGTGCAGAAAACTCAAACCTTTCTGCAATCCCCAAGGGCATTCATCTACCAAGGGTCGTCTTGTGTTTAGCTCATAATGGAAAAGTTGCTTGGGACATCAAATGGAAGCCTCCTTTACAAAATCAGTTAGAACAGAAATCACGTTTGGGTTTTCTTGCAATACTGTTGGGAAATGGCTCACTGGAAGTGTGAGTACATCCTATGCTAAATCATAATTTTGAATCGTTTTGCCATCACTTTTTAAATATCACTATTTATGTACTTATTCATTTTTGTGCACAGATGGGAAGTTCCATCTCCAAGCATAATCCAGAAGATATATTCATCTTCTTTGATGAAGGGTACCGACCCTCGCTTTCTAAAGCTGCGGCCTGTATTTAGGTGTGCTAAAGTGAAGTGCGGGAACATACAGAGGTATTACAACTTTTACTTTCATCGTTCTGCTATTAAACTAGGTGGTGGATTTAATATTTCTGTTAAATTCGTCGGCATGAATTTTCATTTTTAATTCATTTCCTCTTTGTAATGGTAAACAGCATTCCCTTGACAGTTGATTGGTCGCCTTCTCCTCATGATATGATACTGGCAGGATGTCATGATGGAACGGTATCTTTTCTGCCTGTAGTAAATTATTTTCTTAGTTTAGATCTAATAACTGCACCGTTTGGTTAGAAGGTGATGTGCCGAAAATTTTCATTGTTGGATTTTGATCTTCCAGGTTGCTTTATGGAAGTTCTCTACAGACTTGCCAGCACAAGGTATTTTAATGGTTTATTACCTCCCTTTTCATGGTATTTCATATGACTTATGCCATTCAGATGACATGTCTGACTCGGGAACTGTTTACTTTCACATGTTAAAGAGCAAGCTATTGGATTTCCTGAACTGCATATCTCTTATTTTATTTTGTTGTGTGTTATATTAATCGGCTGTTCTGGTTAATGTATAGATTCAAAACCTTTTATGTGTGTCACTGCTGAGTCTGTTCCCATCAGAGCCCTCTCGTGGGCACCATATGTAAGGTACTAAGTTGTGTTATACTTCTATTCCATTCCAAAAGGTTAGCACTGAGTCTGACTCCGTATCATCTTGACAGTGAGGAAGAGACAAACACCTTTGTCACTGCTGGAGATGATGGCCTAAAATTCTGGGATTTAAGGTAGCATAAACTCTACTAGGAACTGTAATCAATAATTCTAATCTTTGTTGTGGACAAACTACTCTTTGCCACCCCATTTCTGATATTGCATATATGCAGCTGTACCCAGGAATTTTTTTCCACAAGTGAATTGGCTGCACTTTGCAGTTTTTAGAAAGATGCATCTTTCTTGTGCTGTTTTGTAATGATAACATTTGGGTCAATAAACAAAGGTGCATTTAATCTGCAAAATCTGTTATCCTCATATGAACATATATGGAACACCTTTCAACAAAAAACAAAAAATCATGACTTTTAGTTGCAACAGGCCACAGCTGTCCTCAAGTTTTACGAAAATTTGAAGCGAAAGTAAGTAATGATAGGTGGTGTAGCAGCATAACCTTAATTGAGTAAATATTGTGAACAGATAATAATATGATTGTTGGGTTCACAACCTTTTTCCGCTATAATTGTTTGAATGGGCTGCAATATTTGAATACTGATTTGCATCCATAAAACTCGTTTGTTGCAGAGATCCATACCGTCCTCTGTGGGAACTAACTACTGCCCCAAGGGCTGTTTTAAGTCTTCATTGGTTAAAGGATGCAAGGTAATATTTTTGTCCCATTTGCAGCAAATAAATCTCATTTGATTTGTAGTAATATGACTGATTCCTTCCGTAGTAAACAAAACCTGCAGACACTAATGTTACTCAGCTTCCTTCAGTACCCAGTGAGATAGTGACTTGATTTTGTCTTGTTTTCCATTTTTTTCTTAAGTTAAAAACTAGGTAACTTCATATGCAGATCACTATTCTCACTGAAGTTGAAATGCAAATCACAGTTGCAAGAAAATAAGAAAAATGATTTATTTATGTTCTTATGCAATCCATGGCTCATTTGATCTCTGATTTGTCAGCATGCTAAGTTGCTAAGGTAGTTTTATTATTTGTTTACAGAACAAACTATGGCTTCTTAAAAACGTAAATGATTCTCCATTAATTCTTTGTTGCTTTGCTATTGGTGCTCTACGTTTGTGTTGATCTAGGCCCTGCTGTAGCTTGTACTTCGAACTCTTCTACCTTTTCAATAAAAAGAAACACAAAGGTTTTGTGTCTTCTTGAGAAAAAATTAAATGATCTAGAACCATGCCTAATCATATATTGACTACAATTAGGCATGAAAAAAGTAAACGACTTTATCTACCCATGGAAATGGCTAATGGAAATGCTCCTTTTATTGTGAAGATCTATTGTGTTACATTCTTTATTATTGACCCAACTAACAGTGATTGTTGCTGATGTCTACTGTGCTTGAATTAAAGCCAGTTCTTCCTGGCATTTTGTTTGAATCAATACGACAACCTTTTCTTCCATCTTTTAACCTTATCTGTTTAATAAATTTACCTTGGTGTTTTCCCTTTTTTAATCAAGCATCAGATAGCTTAGTTACCATTATGCCCTATATCAACATGGTAAGGCAACCATGTTTTCCTTGGTGGGGCAAGTAAATTGGGGACTAGGCCTATCCATTTTTGTCAAAACTGCTGCGTCTATAAACCCCTGAGGAACATGACATAGATCCCAGACCTATCCTTTCGCTTGTCCTAAACATAGTGGAGACATAGGACTCAGGTGGCTTGTAATGTTTGGTTGGAATTGATTGACATTGAAGGATGGCTAATCAAAACTATTGTATTCCACTCCTTTTTTGTGTGTTTTTGTCCATGATTAGGCTTCCCTTGATTATAACGGTATGGTCTGGATTAGTAAAATATAGTGGTAAAATCTCTATGGGTTGAAAGTTCTACTTCGCTCCCAACATGGCCTTACTATGTATATGTGCAGGTTATAATTTTTTTTCTGTCTACTAGGTTAATAATGCTAACTGTTATTATCTTTCATGTCCAGAGGTATTGTCATCTCATTGGAAGATGGTACATTGAAGTTCCTCAGCTTACCTACAATAGCCAATGATGTACCTGTCACCGGAAGGCCATTCACTGGGACTAAAACTCAGGGCATTCGTACTTATCAATTATCAGAATATTTGATATGGGACGTCCATGTCTCAGAAATTACAGGTACATTTCCAGAACCATGCCTAATCATAGTCAATATCCGGCCTAAGCAGAGTGCAGTTACAAGTTTCCTAGTAAGAAGCCTTGGGTGGTACCTTTTCTTGGACTGTTGTGTCAAAGAAATGAATATAAAGCTTATAATTATGTTATTTGCTGTATATAATAATACTTGAATTGTTTATTATTTTAGTTATATTCACCTCTGATAAGATTCTGTTTTGGATACTTGATTTTCTTTTTTGTGATATTTATAATTTTAACAATGCTCTCCTACATTTTGGACACTTGATTTTTTTTAAAAATCTCTATACAGAAGTAAGGAGAATGAGTAGCTTGTTGTAAAAATATCATACTGAAGCATGATATGATTCTTGAATTGGCAATAATTCTTTGCCTGTATACAGGTCAAGCAGCTTATTGCGTGGTAGATGGTACTGCTGTCCGCTTCCAGGTGAACTCGCTAGCCTGTATTCATTATCTACTTGTACCTGTCATCCAGATCTGTGTGCTAAATGAATATTGCACACGTGTAGCTTACTAAGAGATTCTGGGAGAAGAAACCTGGGAGGAACCGTGTACCTTATTTCCTCTGTGGTTCACTGGCAGAGGAGGGGACAGTCATTAAGATCGGTGGCACGTTGCAAAGCTCTCCTTTATCGAATGTTCCTCTGGTCACGAAAAAGGGTCCAGAATCATGCCAAGATGTAGATCAAACGGACGATATGCGGAAAGAGGAACTACGGACTCTCACTAACTCAGGTAAAAGTAAAGTAAAACCCTCTCCATTTTGCTGCAAGTCATATCATTGGCTTACTGCCTGACATGCCTGCTGAACTACACTGCAGAACATGTAGATCCAGAACTCAGAGATGGTGAGCTAGATGAAGGCCGAGAAACTAGTGCTCTAGTTTTAGCTGATGCTCTAATGCAAGAGAGTGATGGCATGCACAACGGCCCAGTTGATGAAAACGCTAAAGACGACTTGGAGGCCTTCCCTCCCAAATCTGTAGCGCTGCATCGGTTGAGATGGAACACAAATAGAGGCAGCGAGAGATGGTTATGCTATGGAGGCGCCGCAGGCATTATTCGTTGTCAGAGGATCTAAGGGACAAGCATATATAATTGGGCCGCAAACCAGGAGAATCCGTGGGTGTCCACCCATCTACACAATAAGCTGTTGCAGCAGCAATATATGGTAGGTTTGCCTGATTTTTGCCGATTTCCGCAGTTATGGCTGACAGAGCTAGCTGTGTATCTTAGCAACTCCAACAGCAGCAGATCCTTGTAGTTTAGGAATTCAAGTTGAGGCAATTGGAGCTTCATATCTTGGGCTCAGAAAACAATAGGAGCTACTTGTGAGAAGTATCAGCTCAGCACTCAGCAACTGACTGATGTTTTTCTTAGGCTGTAACATGTGTACATGTACTGTTGACGCAATCAGACAAATTGCGCCGATCCGATTTGTAAGTAATAGGGACAAACTGAACAGTGTTCTGCCAAATATGTGAGTAATAGTGAACAATAATGGAAATCATGATTGGTCGAAAGCTGCGTGCAGTTTTCGTAAAGGGCCGGACTAGTATTCCCATCTTCTCAAATTTTGACTTGTATTCCCATCTCAAAGTTTAAGTTGTGTCTGATTTTTTTACGATCTTCAATATACTATTTTGACCCAGATTTTTATACATAATGCATATGTCCAGAGTAAAAAAGACATGACAAAAAAGTACTCCCACCATTCCATAATTCTTGCTGTTTAGTTTAAATTTGAACTAAAGCCACGACAAGAATTATGAAACAGAGAGTAGTAGCATGCAAGAAAACACGTTGATATCATTTTTACATGTTTGATCCATATACCTTTATGAGTATTAGTGGTTGAAGTTTTAAGACGTTATTCCGCAAATAAGGAAAATGTTTTTAAGACTTGACTGCGTGTATGTATAATAGTACAATCTGAAAGATGGAATGCTTAATAGATATTGGACTGGGTTTCTAGACTCCAGTCAAATCCAGTAGTAGTACCAAACAATATGGGCGAACAATTTTTTGCAAGCCTCGGAGGCCATTCGAAGCAATTCGAGAACAAGAGAGAGAGAGAGAGCCACAGGAGGACTGAACTAGCTTTACAAGTCTAGAAACTTAACTTTTATGAACGTTAGCACCTAATATACGGAATCAGTCTCTCGAAAAAAATACCGAGTGTGTAATTAATTAATTATTACGTACGTACTTACTACTGCGATATTTGGATCGATGTCGCTATTTGGAGTAGACCATGCCTCCCAAGGTGAATACCTTTGTATGGCACATAGCACAAGGTAGTTTGCCTCATAATTGTATTATCAAACGATGTGGAGTTGATGCTGATCCAACATGCCCAGTATGTAAGAAGCGGAATGGGGACGATGGGCATTTGTTTGTGTGGTGCAAAGGAAGTGAGATTGGAGTTGCAGGAGTGTGAATACCACAAGCAAATGTTTTCGACTATCCTATTACGCTTGTTCCGTAACGAAAACCCCAATTTCGAGTTAACAGACAAATCTGCACTGTCTTTCTATCAATGCATTTATTTATGTTTTTTTGCTTTACTTATGGCCACACAGTGGTTCAGACTTTTCCTTTCTCCGGAGGGGGATAGTATCACATTAATTATTAACTCAAAATGTTTTGGAGCTTCCACAGGAATGCTAGTCAACGAATTTGCTAGACCAACTCTTTCGTGTCGCTCCCCCCGCGGACGACTTGGGAGCTCCCACCACTGCCTAAGGTTCCTCCCATCCCACCCCTCTCCCACTGCTGTTGCCGGTGAAGATCAGGGCTGGTGGGGCCGCCTAAGGTTCCATGATACAGTTGTCTAGGCTGCAAGCGTGGGCTCGGACGTGTCAAGTTGTTCCGGACCGATGGGGATCCATTGGTGTGATCCAAGTGTTTGGGGCCGCAGTGGTTCTCCGTTGGTTGTGTTTGTTGGGGGGTCCTATGGATCCATTGTTTGGGAGTAGTTCGCATGTGTGGGTAAATTTGTGACGGTTTTACCCAGTTTTCTGTCAATTAACCGGACAACTCTCTTCTTAATTAATGGATGAGGCTCCGTTTCAAAAAAAAGTACTTGGTTGTGGCTGGCTATGTACAGTCCTACAGTACATTAGCAAAAAGATTCACTAGCCGCTACTCAACAATCTCCATGACGCACAGCTTGTCAGGAGAGCAAGAATCCAAAACACTTGTAACATTGGTACTCAACCGGTGAGAGTTCGGCCCCTCTGGCTGGACGGTGACCCACTGGCCGTCGACAAGCTCGACGTGTTCGTGCTGCTCGGGGTGGGCAGAGAACCTGGCCTTGGCGACGTCTCGGCACATCTTGTTCAAGTGGTCGATGGAAAGGATCAAATCGAAACCATCTTCCGTCTTGTCGCTGGTCTTGCGGAGCTTGACACCGACATCCACACTGCGCGAACTTGCAGCACCGAAGAGCAGAGGATGCCCGAGGACTAGTTCGTCAGAGGGGCTGCATATCTGTCGGAAAGTAAAGTTCGTTTCAGGGACCGGTTCCAGACAAAAGAAAGATAGCAGTTCTTATAAGAGCAGAAAATATAACTTATTCATGAAAGGAGTTTGAAGTTGCGATGTTTACAGATACTAGAAGGAGTAGACATGGTCTCCAAGACCAAACGTCTGCTTGCTTTACCTGCTTACAGAACAAAGACACGGTGGACCACATCCTTGTACAATGCGTGGTTGCTAGGGAGACTTGGTTCAGGTGCTTTCAATCACTTGGAATCACCGTCCAATGTCCTAACCACCAACATTCTATGGAGGAATGGTGGATTGGATCTAGGAGAACTTTCCACGGCAAAGCCAAGAGGGGCTTCGACACTGTGATCATACTTATCGCCTGGAACCTTTGGAAGTAGCGTAATGCTCGAGTATTTAATAACAGGGAAAAACAGGAGTCTGGACAAGCACTAGTGGATCACATCTTAGATGAGTTAACCTCTTGGAGGGGAGCCGGTGCGGTGTGTATGTGTGTGTGTGTGGACTATTCAGTGAGTAGTTAGTCTTTGCTTTTTCGGTGTGGGTGCACTGGCATTGTTGCAAGAAACGTTTGCAAGTATCTTGTACATTTTTGCTCTACCTTCTATAAAAATATGGTATGCCATTGGCGTACTCTCGAAATAAAAAAGTTGCGATGTTTAAATCCCATCAATTTAAAATGCTGGCATGCTTCTCGCTGATGTTGTTTTAGCAGGCTATAAGTGTTCAGTTGCAGATTGCAGGTAGCCGCAAGTTTTAAAGAAGATCTATATTTCATAGACCGAATAAGTCAACGCAACAAAAAGTAAAAACTGAGAAGAAATGCGAGATGGGGGGACACGCTAGGTGAATGGCACATGTTCATACCTGTACGTACTCTATGCCCATTGCATTGAACGATTCCAAAATTTTATTTGATGATAGTGAGCTGAAAATCGCCCCAGATCCAGCTGGCCTTTGAAGTATCTCCCATGGGGACTTCAGCAGAATTTTTTTGCTCCCTAGCTCAGAGGACAGACTGACAACTGGTAGTTTCATCTCTTCAAGGACCCATACCTGCAAATGGATTCAGTGGAACATTAAATAAGTAGAGGAGCTGGCTTTTGAGATCCGAAGTTACAAACAAATTAGAGATTAATGCTGGCGAAGAAAGATTTCTATATTCAGAACTGAACATGACAGGGATCTCTATCCATTTGCCACTCGACTCTCTTAAGACTGAAAACCAAAAGAGAGTCAAGCGCCGCACTCTACATGTACAACTGAACTGGTGTACATACGCTGGTAAGCTTATATACACAAGAACAAATTTCGGGTTCTACATACATTTCAAAAGGCAATCTTAAAGTAACTGCTTGACTGGAATGTTCAATGTGGAATGTACAATAACAAAAATGTGAGGTGTGCGCAGTTCCACCAAGAACGTGAACTCTAATGAAATTGCCAAACTATTAAATGGAAAAATGGAAAGGAATAGTCACATTAACACACCTATTTTTTTGGAAAAACAGAGAACACCTACGTAAACTCGTAGTAGGACAATGTACTGTACCTTCTGAGTGTCAAAACCAAAATAGTCGTTCTCTATCAAGTAGTTCCGAACTGAATCCACATGATCGCCAGGAGAAACAATAACAAAAGGGGGAGATATATGATTTTCTTCTACCTGCATCAAACAAAAATGAATAAGATTTGTCCACGCATTAGTCATTGTTTCAGGTGGAACTGTAGCAAACAAGCAGCAACTAACTGATAACCACTGTAAATTCAATCCTTAGTAAATACAACCTCCGTCCGGAATTAACAGTCGCTGAAATGAGTGTATCTAGACGTGTTTAAGTGTGTAGATACACTCATTTCAGCGACAGTTAATTCCGGCCGGATGGGATAGTAGATTAGAATTTAAATGATATTTTCACCAAAGCATATTCCTGAATAGTAGACCAGAGCACAAAAACTTCAGCAGTAAAGGACATTGATCAACCTTGAACATAAGGAGGAATGAACTTAACAGTTCTCAACCTTTACGATTATTATGTTCTTCACGCAAGCTCAGGTAACATATGAAACAATCAAAAACAAAATAAATATGGAGAAAGTGCATTTGATTGGTGCTACTATATCCAGTTCCAATACAGAAAACAGTGCAGTGGCCATCATGAATAATGCATACCTTCATTAACTCACTAAAAGAGTTAAGCAATCTCTGAAACTCAGCATCCACAATATCAGAGTCTGAGCCATTTGTAACAAGTACAATTGCTGCTTTTGACTTTTGAAGGATCTCACAGCCTTTGCTAAATTCACTACTGAAGACATTCTTCTCTTTCTCACCATGATTCATGAGGGTTTCGCGAGGTATCCTCATCACGTTTTTTCTTGATGAAGAGGAATTGGCAAGAACATTCTTTGACATGCTGAAAATGACCAAAGTTTCAAAGAGTAAGCTGCAGGCTAGATTAAAAACTCAGGACAGACCACAAATGCATATTGTTTGACCAAAATAACAGAAAGACTGATATTGTTACATATGAGGAGCATTCTGGAACTGCATTCATGAATATATAGAAAACATTTAATGAGCGTGATGATGATCAAATCAGCTTCTTTTGAAAATACTTTGGCAAGACAGGGAATAACGGGAATCCACAGTTCGTACCTGTCAACCTGCTTGCTGACGCTATGCATTGCATGTTTGAACAATTGGAAGTCAATGCTCGCAATTTGTTCAGCAAGTGAAGCCTTTTCGAGCTTGTCCCCTGATAGCAAACCTTCCAGAATATGGCCCTGTTCCATTTCATGTAGTACCTTCTTTGCTGCAGTTATGCGACGCTGTAGTTTCTTCTTTTCCTTCCAATCCTGTAACGATTTAAAATAGAAATTGTTTATTTGAAAGAACACAACAAACAACAAAAAATAGCTCAGATCATTGCATCAATCTTGGTTAGAACCTAAAGCAAGACATTTCAATCACATATGCTCATTGAAAGAACTGTTATATGAGATGCATCTATCATCTACAATAGTCAGGAAAGGTGCTGCTGCTGGTATCAACATTGTAGCTCTTTAGATCAGACTTTTTTTTAAGTGCAAGTTATGTACCACAAAAGAGATCATGGCATGCAAAAAAAGGATGGCGCGGACCTAACCATCGCACGCCTTTCTTTCTTTGATTTCTCAGGACGTGTGTTGACCTCAAGAAGACCCTTTGGTGGTGTAATCCACATCTCTCTAGTCTCCATATCAATATCAGGCACAATATCTTCAGCAAATGGAATCCACACGTGCTGACGGGATGGAGTTGAATCCTGATTTTCTGAATCAGTCTGCACAGCATTCTCAGCAGAGCCAACCATAACCTGGAGAAGATCGCCACCTCCAAAATTGAAGACCTGTGCAACAGTGCCTACAAGCTTGCCTGTATCCTAGGAAGGGAAACAAAAGGACTAACTTCGATTATCAAAATTGTGAAGAAAACCATCTATGTATGGAGGAAACAACCATCATAATATGTCAATGCCAGTGTACATTTTGATGGTGGTGTTTACTTATAGTGGGTAGAAGGAGCAATTTGGCGACGCAACAATGACAAGTTCCAATATTAGCAATAACACAGTTTGTTATATAAATGATATCGCAGCTTTTAATAGAAAAAAGTATATGGTTCTGGTATTTAATGTTACTTAACCTGAAGTATCTTATACTCCCTCCGTAAACTAATATAAGAGTGTTTAGATCACTAAACTAGTGATCTAAACACTCTTATATTAGTTTACGGAGGGAGTACAAGATTACATAAGAATGACACAAGTATAGTACTATTTTACAGGATGCGCGTGCCTTTAATTTGATTACCCAAGGGCCAAGGCCAAGGCAACCACCCAGAGAGCCAGCAACATACCACATGCACTTTTCATCCAGCTATCCAACTGCAATTCAATTCTTGTAGGCATAAAAAAATAACAATGTTGGTATCACTGCGCTTTTCACCTTACTCATGGTGTGGCCTCATTTTTGTAATGGAAATAAACAAATGAAACACACCAGAAACTTAGGGGGTGAAAACATCATGGACGAAATATATATGTACCTTGACAATAACAGTCATGCCAACAAGATCGAGCGAATAGATCTCATCCTCCTCCAGTTCCGGCCTATCCTCGGTCTTCACGAGAACAGCCGAACCAACTATCTGCCTGGCCTAAGAAGAGTCACAAACAAAATCGCATCAGGAGCTAACCATCGTGACTAGTTCTTCAGACTCGCGGATTCAGAGATAACGAGTGACCCAGGCACAGAAATGCAAACAAGCAGACCTCGTCCAAGGAGTCGACGCCGTCGAAGCGCACGATCCAGCCCTTCTTCCCCGTGTGGGCTTTCCCCCTGACGAGCTCGAACTCCCTGACCTGCATCTTCCCGGCGGCGCGAGCCCTCAGCCACCTCTTCCCCGGCTGTTAGAACCGAATTCGAACAAACGGACGAGAAATGCTCAATTCCACCGCCAATTAGCATCAAACCAAGCTCGCCTAGAAGAGTTACCGTGGCGAAGCGGAGCTCGGGGAAGTCGGTGCGGGGCGAGACGAGGACGTCGCCGCGCACCCCGTGCGCGCCGCTCACGTACCCCACCTCCACCAAGTCATCCTCCTCCACGAGCTCCTCATCTTCGCCATACTCCTCTTCTTCATCTTCCTCGTCCTTGTGCTCGTGCTGCGCGTGGCTGGGGCTGGGGCTGGGGCTGGAGAGCAGCGCGGCGGCGGGGCGGGTCGGCGAGAGGGTGAAGCGGCGGGGAGGGAGGCGGGAGAAGGGCGCGGGGAGGCGGCGGCACGGGGAAGGGCGGAGCGGGAGGGAGAGGGAGAGGGAGACCGGCGCGGAGGTGGAGGCCGGAGACGCCATTCTCAGCGAGGGAAGAGGATAGACCCACCCGAGGCTAGCGAGGGGAGAAGGGAGGAAGGTGGTTCGGGGTTTTAGCCCCGGCCCGTGGGCTTCGAGAACATCTATGTGGCTGGGCCGTGTCGGAATTGCCGATCAGGTCACATCTTTAAAGGCTCCCCCTAGCACTCAAAAACAAAAGATCTTTAAAGGCTCCCTCTAAAAAGAAAAATGAAATAATATATTTTAAAAAATGTAATAATGTGAAGAGTATGTATATAAAAAAATAGGTCAAGAGGGGAATTTTCAATTCTTGTAAAGGTTCCCCACTGCTACTTACTTTGGGCTTCAGAGTCCAGCTGGTTGAATATCAAAAAATGTTGCTGTGTTGAAAGTGGTCAAGGGTGAAGTTTCTGCTTCTGGATTGCTTATATTCAGTTAAATGGAATTTTTTATAAGAACAAGGAATGACCATGTAAGATTAGAGAGCTTGGTGACAAAAATTCTTTCGAAAAATGTTGATGACCTGATTGAATTCCCAACATTTCATCTGTTAGTGGGTGGTGTGCCTGTCAAGATTTGTGAATGGGATCATCTTGTTGATCCATTTGTAGAGTTAACTAAAGTCATAGTTCAGATAGAAGGAATTCCCCCAAAGTGGCGTGCATGGAAGATTTTAGCCGAGGTAGCTTCTTGCTTTGGAATCCTTGTGGGTGTGGAATGGAGTGGGATTTTTAAAAGCTTTTATGAGCTCATTAGAGTGAAAGTGGCTTGTAGAGATCTCACAAAAAACCCCTTTGAGAGGCTTGTGGAGATACGAAGGAAGCTATACTCGTTGTTCTTTATTGTTGAAGGTTTTAATCAGGTGGGTGAAGATGGTGATGATCACAACCCTGACAGTGACAAGCATAGTGAAGAAAAAGGTGGATAAGGATTCTGATGTTTCTGATAAAGATAATATGGATGAAGATGGTAAATCAATAGGTGAACTTGACAAAGCTAACTTCCCTAGGAAAAGTGCTACTTCTGTAGGCTAAAAACAAAACAAGTGTTGTTTGTTTCTTCTATGGATTTCCACCCTCACGAACTTCTTGTTTCTTTCCATGAGAAATTCATTGAGGAAACCAGAAACAAATCGCTCCCCAAACCCGTTGTGATCCTTATGGATGTTGACCGTGTTAGTCCTATTTGTGATAATAACATTGCTTCAGAACATGAAATTGAACCTTTATCTGTTGATATGGAGCACCATTCTGAACACCCGAGCAATTTCGAGATGGTTTACTCGGATGGAGAAGAGGAGAACTTGTTACTTGAGATGCAATGTCCTCCTGAAGACCTGACTATGGCCTTAGGCTATGTTAAGAGATATTTATTGGAATCTTTGGAGAAAGATGAATCTGAGAAGAAACTGAAGAGTATTGTGGAGCCTGTTATTAAATGGGGCCCTAACTATCCAACAAGCCTATTACAAGGAACCATGGCAACATAAAAGATCATGGACAAGGATGCAACTTATATGAAGAAAAATAATATGGAGATACTTGCTTCTTTTAAAGGGAAATCCTTTGCCAACTTTGACCGTGAAGAACTTGCTAATCGAACTACTAAGGTAGATATTGCATTGGTGATACTACCCCTGAACAAAAAATATATTATCCTTAACATGGTGGAATCTAAAAAACAAAACTGTCTTAAGTTGCTAACTATAGTCCTGAAACCTTTTCTTCCCGATAATCTTGACCCTTTTGAACAATATGAATTTAGTTGTTCTTCACCTATTATTTCTATTACTATTCCTAGGTCAGGGGGCACAGCTGATCTGAATAGTGATAGTCCAATCTTTCACACTAGGAACATGCCTTGTGCCTTGTCTCATCCTCTTAAAATCCAATGATTGGTGCCTTATGGAATATTTGAGGTTTAGGGCAACATGGTAAATTGAAGTGTCTTGCTGAATGTTTGAATAATAATCATGTGAATTTTGTTGGTTTCTTTGAAAACAAAAGAGAGTTCATTGACGATAGCATGCTTAAAACCACTTCTGGTAGGATTGAGTTTAATTAGCACTACTTACCTGCTATTAATACTACTGGTGGCATTATTGTGGGGCTTAAGTGTTATTTGTTTGAGGTGATTGGTTTTTCCAATAAAAAACATTGCATTATAGTGATTGTTAAAAAACAGTAAGAAATGGGGTTTCCTTAGGCACTTTCACTAGTAGAAAAAGGCCCATTTGTCCCGGTTCATAGGGCCCATCTGTCCCGGTTGGGGAACCGGGACTAAAGGGTCGTTACTAATACCCTAGGCCTTTAGTCCTGGTTCTTATACTAACCAGGACAGATGGGCCACCACGTGGCCGCTCCGGCGAGCCCAGGAACGAGGGCCTTTGGTCTTGGTTGGTAGCACCAACCGGGACCAATAAGCTTCCACGCGTCAGCATTTCAGGGGATGTTTTTTTAAAAGGAGGTGGTTTAGGGGTTTTTGGGGTTTAATTTAGGTTGGTATAGGTAGCTAATAGAGAGATTTGTCCTCTCTTATCTCCGTGCTACTGCTACTGCTATGCCTAAACATGACTTAGATTGAAGTGAGGCAACATGTGGTGCATGTCGAAAGTAATACTAATCCTAACTTGATCAAGTTTGGATTGTACTACTTTCGACATGCACCATATGCATGTTGCCTTCACTTCAATCCAATCCATGCTCATTTCACCCGCTGATATATAATAACTCTTCATGCTCGCATCATGCATCATCATATATAATAAAAAGTCTACTAATCATCATCATACAACTTCTACTCGTTATTAATAACAAGTCATACGATCATCATCCTCATAGTCATCGAACCAACCCTACTTAATTGTTCTTAGCACATGATCATCAGTATTAGGTAGGACCTAAATACCCTCTTTAAGGTAAAATAGCATAAAACAATATAGACCCTGACTCTCCATTATGGAGAATGGAGATCATCCTGTCTCCGATTCTTGCGCTTCACTTCCTTTTGCTTCCAAGAACCTCCTTACGACTGTCCATACATTTTTTCCATCCTTTGATTTGCATGTCTCCATTCCTTTTAGAAATCTGGTATGGACAGTTGAGATTCGTAGGATGACCTGGCTGTATGTTCAAAACATTAAGGCTACCTTTCTAATACATCAAATAAGGCACACAATTCTTTGGGATTATCTGTTGAAAAACATAGCAATAACTTCATAGTTAGCAATGATGTACTAGTTTAAGAAGTATGCAAAAGATGCACGGATGTCGTAATAGTAAAAAATCTTACCAGAGTATCTCCATGGTAGTTACCGTAGTTCAATACATGCACTAGTGGCACGTATTGACCATAATGTTGAAGAGTTTGATTGTAGATATTGTAATTCTCAATGTCAGTACAAAATCCAACCAGATGATTTTTCTCCTTGTAAGTTAATTCGGAGCCATCGGTGTAGTGGGTTTTGTCTACCATCTCCCGCACATTCTTTGAAGAATGAAAATAAGCTGTCAATGGAACTAAGCTGTCAACTATTTTGAAATAAACAATATAAATTAGCTAATAACTATGTTTGAGAAACTCACATAGCGGTAGAATTGGAGGCGTATCAACAAGGACCCAAATGCCCATATTGTCTTGCTCGATTTCAGGATCACCAAGATCCACGGTGACAAGCATACCCTCATCAAAACCATACATCTTGCAAAGTGCTTCCCATTTTTTGCAACCAAAATGGGCTACGCTCTTAGAATTGTACAACTTTACTTCAAAATCCACATCATGATGAGTCCTTAGGTGAATTTTCTTTGTTTTGAAATTTTCATGGTCTTCAAAACCCATCCTCTCCAAGACATAGCGCCTTGCATGGCATGGGATAAGCTACTCGAATTGTAAAAGATGAAAATTACACGTTGAAATAGTTGTAGTCATGCTTAATTACGAAAAAAACACTTGTCGTCGTTGCGTACCGTTTCAACATCGAAGGTCTCCTCGAGCTTAATGCTAAAGCGCCGATCATCGTCCAGGTGAGGCATGTCGCACAGACCTCGATCATCGTGGCACTAGCTGCACTCCCCCGGGAGACTTTTGTCGTCTAATGACAACATTTCCTACGTTCATAATTCAAAGATTAAACTTGTACAATTAAATATATGTACTACAAAAACTAAATTAGATCATTATTATTCATTGCGGGTTGACTATTGGTCTATCGAGTCTTTTCTTGAAAACTCTCAGCTCACGTGGTGTATATATTCGACTCTCGGTGATGGTCGCTCCTCACTTTGTCCCCGAGTGCATTACACCAAAATGTCTAGCACACGGGAACGAAGGATAAGCGACCCCCACGACAACAATCGGGATTCTTCGTCCTCTCATATATATGGTGTAACTCTCCCTCACTGATTCCTCTCTGACATTTGCGACCGCCGATGATGGTCGTTACTCCTTCTTTCCCTAGTGCATAACAAAGGTCTAGCACCCGGAGAAGAAGGAGAAACGACCCCCACGACAACAGTCGGGCTTCTTCGTCCTCTCATATATGATGGAGACTCGACAGACTTAAAGTCAACTCGGAATATCATTTAATTATCTTTCTAAAAAAGGATTTGGCTGGTCTCACCTCGAGGTCGGAGGGGGTCGGTGACGGGGACGATGACGGGGATGATGGAGGGGGGCTCCTAGATTTCTGCGAAAACAAAAACCCTAGAAGCTATCAACTAATCATATGCATACGCCTTGCATAGTGCTCTCCAATTTTAGCATTCAAAGTAGGAGTAGTTTTCCAATTTGAGCATTCAATAAGCAAAATCAAATCGCAAAATAAAGTAGTATTCAAATTAGGATGCATTCAATTATAAGCAAAACTGTATCATCTTTTGCGTCCGTACATCATCGAATATTATCACTAATACACCTTGAATACTATCATACATATAACATCGCTAGTACAGCTAGAACCATAGCGCCCGACGGGTATCGGCACGGGCGGTGGACACCCAAAGAGAAGGAACCATCACATG